ACAGTGATGTGAGGCCCAAGTCAAGGTCGGCATCTGAGATACAGCTGTTCCCCAGCGGAAAACTCCAACTGATGGTGGAGCCTGCGCCGTGCCGCAGGGTTCTACTGGTTCTACTGGTTCTACTGGTTCTACTGGTTCTACTGGTTCTACTGGTTCTACTGGTTCTACTGGTTCTGATTTCTAGGGGAAAATCAAAGGAAATGGAAACTGACACGATTTGATACCAAGCGTGGAAAAACCGACACTTGGGACGTGCACGGAAGTGAGAAAGAGTAGAAACACAGGAGGTGGCAGCGGTCCCGGCCTTCGGCAAAGGGCATGAAGTTGTAGCCACAATCGAAGCCTTCCATGCCAAAATAGTGTTGCTCAGGGCTGCCATTGAACTCGTCAGCCTCCCAGGCTCTTTTATTTTGATTTTCTATCAAGTTGTCAAACCAATGAAGTTGTGAAACGAAGTAAAGAGATGTTGTCGCTTGTGCCCTGTTGCCCTTCCAACTATTCAGCAGCCATTGGTTTGGCTGAAAGCCCATCATTAAGAGTCAAATTTGTGCATGTTGAATATACATCGAAAAGATCAGACCTCATCGTGACGGATGACAATTCGCAGCTTCAAACAACATCACGCTTATACCAACACGCTCTATGATATACAAATATTATCTATGATTCTACACATCTAATTCAATACATATATATATAACTCCGCTGGATTGAACCTAGTGCATCTTCCTTGTCCCTTAACCTTTGATCCAACCACCACTGACCATTGCTCTGACCATGACTCTGCCTGGGTGCCAATAATCGGCACACAATTTTGAGGCACCACCCCACCATTTCCGAAGGCCGCCAGCATACAAACGTTCTGCGAGCCGGCAGAAAGACCCACCATGTTGTCATCAAAGCCCATGTCGTTGAACCTGTGACCCGAAAAACTAGACGACGGATGGCCCGAGAGCGTAGAGGAGCAGGGTCTTCTCTTGTTAGTATGGAGACACCGTATTACAAAACAATATATTAAAGATGTGTTATAGGCAGACGAGAAGAGGAGTATCAAGACAATATAGCACAAGTACAAGACAATAGTTTGCATCGCAAACACTTTTACGCACAGAAGCTTTTACACACAGACGTTTTTACACACAAAAGCTTTTACACACAGAAGCTTTACACACACAAGCTTTTACACACAGACACTTTTACACACAGACGCTTTTACACACAGGCACTTTTACACACAGACACTTTTACACACAGGCGCTTTTACACACAGACAGTTTTACACACAGACCCTTTTACACACAGGAGCTTTTACACACAGAAGCTTTTACACGCAGACGCTTTTACACACAGGAGCTTTTACACACAGACGCTTTTACACACAGACGGTTTTACACACAGACGCTTTTACACACAGACACTTTTGCACACAAACAGTTTTACACACAGACGCTTTTACATACAGACGCTTTTACACACAAAAGCTTTACACACAGACGCTTTTACACACAAACACGTTTACACGCACACACTTTTACACACAAACACTTTTACACACAGAGACAGTTTTACACACAACAGCTTTTACACACAACAGCTTTTACACACAACAGTTTTTACACAAAGAAGCTTTTACACACAGACGCTTTTACACACAAACGGTTTTACACACAGAGACTTTTACACACAGACGCTTTTACACACAGAAGCTTTTACACACAGACCCTTTTACACACAGAAGCTTTTACACACAGACCCTTTTACACAAAGAAGCTTTTACACACAGACGCTTTTACACAAAGAAGCTTTTACGCACAGACGCTTTTACACACAGACGCTTTTACACACAGACGCTTTTGCACACAGACGCTTTTACACACAGACGCTTCTACACACAAACACGTTTACACACAAACACTTTTACACACAGACACTTTTACACACAGACACTTTTGCACACAAAAGCTTTTACACACAGACGCTTTTACACACAGACGCTTTTACACACAGAAACTTTTACACACAGAGACAGTTTTACACACAGACGCTTTTACACACAGACGCTTTTACACACAGGAAATCGCAATTTTACCTCAGTTTTTGGCGATCGAACCTCGTTTCATGCGAAAGGGTTGCGATTGGACCCTTGAAATCTTAATTTTACCTCAATTTTCAGGGAGGTTGCTTTGAGTGTGGAAATTGAAATCGTCGAAAGCGGCCACTTGCGGCCACTTGCGGCCACTCGCTGGGAGCGGCCACTTGCGGCCACTTGCGGCCACTTGCGGCCGCTCGCTGGGAGCGGCCACTTGCGGCCACTTGCGGCCACTTGCGGCCACTTGCGGCCACTCGCTGGGAGCGGCCACTTGCGGCCACTTGCGGCCACTCGCTGGGAGCACTTGCGGCCACTTGCGGCCACTTGCGGCCGCTCGCTTGGAACTGGCTGGAGCGGCCACTTGCGGCCACTTGCGGCCACTCGCTGGGAGCGGCCACTTAATTGCGGCCGCTTGCGGCCATGGGAACTGTCTGGGGCGGCCACTTGCGGCCACTTGCGGCCACTTGCGGCCACTTGCGGCCACTTGCGGCCACTTGCGGCCACTCGCTGGGAGCGGCCATTGCGGCCACTTGCGGCCACTCGCTGGGAACTGTCTGGAACGGCCACTTGCGGCCACTTGCGGCCACTTGCGGCCACTTGCGGCCACTTGCGGCCACTCGCTTGGAGCGGCCACTTGCGGCCACTTGTGGCCCCTCGCTTGGAGCGGCCACTTAAAGCCACTTGCGGCCACTCGAGTGGCTGCGAGTGGCTGCGAGTGGCTGCGTGCTGGTAGAAATACATGGCAGAGTTGGCATCTTGAAAAAAATCGGTTTTGCTGGAAATGCGTTTTTTTTTCAAGTTTGGAGGTTAGATGGGTAGGATTTTATCGTGTCTCACGAAACCATGTGGCTAACCATATGCCACCCATGTCTTCCATAGCGTGGGGAAGATCTCGGGGCGTAGCATCAACGGTGGTAGAACGGGAGAAAATTAAAAAGAAGATCTTGGAGAATAGCTCCAATGATGGTGCAATGTTGGAAAGTCGAAGGGATTGAGCGTAGCAAAATGACGGTAGAATGTTGGAAATGGAAAAGATATCCCAGAGCGTAGCATCAATGATAGAAGAAAATTGAAGAGAAGATCTCAGAGCGTAGCGTCAAGTATGTTAGAAAGCTGAAGAAAAGATCTTAGAGATTCTTAGAGCGTAGTGTCAGTGATGGTATAATGTTTGAAAGTTGATGAAGAGAACACCTTAGACGGTCCATGATGCTAAAAAGATGAAAGAAAAATGTTACCGCGTCAACGCAGTACTATGTAAGAAAATCAAAGAGAAGATCTCAGAGCGTAGCAACAACTTTGCTAGAAATTTGAGGGGTAGCAGCTAGCATGAATCAGGGTAGAATGTGAGAAAATTCAAGAGAAGATCTTAGACCGTAGAATCACTCATGGTAGAATGTTTGGAGTATAGCATCAATGATGACGAAATATTTGAAAGTTGATTAGATCTTAGAACGTGGCATGTTAGAAAATACAAGAGAAAACCTTGGCACGTAGCGTCAATGATAATAGAAAGGTGAAGAGAAGACCCAAGACCCAAGAACATAACTAATGAGATGCTATTGTAGAAAATTGAAAAGAAGATCGTCGAGCTAAGGGTCAGTGATGTTCAACATTTGAAAAGAAGACCTTAGAGCGCAGCATTGATGATGTCAGAACATGGAAAAGACAATGATGTTGGAAAATTTGAAGAGAAGATCTTGGCGCGCAGCATCACTGATGTTTCAAATTTGAAGTAAAGATCTTGGAACGTCGCTTCAAGTATGTTGGACAATTGAAGAGAAGATCTTAGAGCGTAACATCAAACATGTTTGAAAATTGAAGAGAAGTTCTTAGAGCGTAGCATCAATGATGGTACAATGGGAGAAAGATGGAAATAAAATCGAAAAACATAGCATCAATGCGGGTAGAATGTGAGAAAAAAACAAAAGAAATCTTAGAGCGCAGCATCGATGATGTCTGAAAAGTGAAGAGCGTATCTGAATGTTGGACAGTTGAGAAGATCTTTGAGCGTAGAATGGCTGATGTTGGAAACTTGAAGAGAAGATCTTTGAGCGTAGCATCAATGATAGTAGAAAACTGAAGATCTGTTGCAGCTTGGAGATTGAAGAGAAGATCTTAGGGCGTTGCATCAATGATGGTAGAGTATTTGCAAGTTGGGTAGATCTTAGAGCGTAGCAGCAACCAGTTAGAAGCCTAAGGAGAAGCTGTTGGGTAGTAGCATCAATGCATTCTATGTAAAACATGCAGAAGGTCTCAGAGCGTATCAGAGTGTAGCATCAAATAATGTTAGAAATTCTTATCCCCAGCGCGTTACTTCTTGATTTTTGTTTAACACTTCCCTTCCATTTGCTACAGCGTTCCTTTCGTTTCAACTCTTCCCGTCCATTTGATACTTCCTTTCTTTCGTTTCAACACTCCCATCCCGATCATGTACTTCTTCCTTTCGTTTCAAGCCGTTCATGCGGTTACGTCCTTCCACTCGTCTCAATTCCTATACAATCCTTTCGGTTACATGTTTTATTGTAACTAGCCTATTTCGTTTGTTACTTCCTTCTTTAAATTTCAACACTCCCCCACGTTAGTTACTTCCTTCCTTTCGTTTCAACTCCTTCCTTCCGTTTGCTGTCAAGTCGTTCATTTCGTTACGTCCGTCCTTACGTTTCACCTCGTTTATAAACCCCCTTCGTTTCACCTCTTACGCCTCCTACAATCTGTTCGTTACTTTCATTCTTTCGTCGATTCGTTGCAGCTCTTTCCTTTCATTCCTTATATACTTCCTTCCTTTCGTTTCAACTCTTCCCTTCCGTTCGGCCGCTCCTTTAGTTTCAACTCTTTCCTTTCATTCGTTACTGTCTTCCTTTCGTTTCAACTCTCTCCTTTCATGCGTTACTTCATTCCTTTCGTTTTAACTCTGACATCCCGTTCCTTACTGCTTCCCTTCGTTTCAAGTCGTTCATTGCTGGCCATGGTCCAAGAGATTTCCTACTTGGGTGATTATAACAAAAGCATTCAACCTAACTATGATAAAATTCATCTCTCCCCTTCGGCTGAAAAACATGATACGGATCGAACCAAAAGTGCTGGAAATCTGGTGAAGCAGTGCCAAGGGTTTGCTATACACAGGCGGTAAACAGTGGTAAACACCGAGAAATTAACCAGCATCCACGAAAAAAATGGTACGAATCAAAAATTTACCAATACCCACGGTAAAAGCGATAAAATTCGAAAAAATATTTCTTTCCTTTCTTCCCTGTAGGAGGCACAAGCGTATACCCGGTCGACAAACAACAGCCCCTTTAAATTGTTTCTTTCCGTTCATTGTGTCCTTCCTTTCTTTTCAACTCAATGTCTCCTTTCCGTTCCTTGCCTCCTTCCTTTCGTTTCGCCTCTTCCTTTCCATGCGTTACTTCTGTCCTTTCGTTCCATGTCTTATATTCCGTTCGGTACTTCTTCCCATTCGTTTCAACTCTTCGTTTCCGTTCATTGCGTCTTTCCTTCCGTTTCACCTTTTCCCTACTATGCGTTACTTCCGTCCGCTCGTTTCAAGTTTTATATCCCGTTCGTTTCTTCTTCCCTTTCGTTTCAACTCTTCCCTGCCGTTTGCTCCGTCCTTCCTTCTAATTTAATTCTTCGTGTGTCGTCTCAACTTTTCCTTTCCGTTCGCTGCGTCCTTTCTTCCATTTCAAGTCTCCTCTTCCATTTTTTACTTCCTTTCTTTCGTATTAATTCTTATGTCCTGTTCGTTTCCTTTCTTTCGCATAAACTCTTACGTCCTGATCGTTCAGTTTTTCCTTCCGTTTCAACTCTTCCTTTCTATTCGTTGCGTCTGTGCCTTCGTATCAACTCTTCTGTCTTGCTCGTTTAGCATCGTTTAGCTCTTCCATTCCTTTCACCTTGTCCATTTCGTTGCGTCCATCCTTTCGTTTCAACTCTTCCCTCCTATTTGTTATTCCCTTTCGTTTCAACTCTCACCTCACGTTTCACAGAAAACTTGAAAAAAATGCAGCTCGCGAGAAACGCATTTTTTTTCAAATTTTCAAGGGTGGGGCCATTCGGGCTGGTATTTGCCGTCCAAGCAGCCATAAGCAGCCACTTGCGGCCACTTGCGGCCACTTGCGGCCACTTGCGGCCACTCGCTTGGAGCGGCCACTTGCGGCCACTTGCGGCCACTTGCGGCCACTTGCGGCCACTTGCGGCCACTTGCGGCCACTTGCGGCCACTTGCGGCCACTTGCGGCCACTTGCGGCCACTTGTGGCCAAGGCCACTTGCGGCCACTTGCCCTAGCGGCCACTTGCGGCCACTTGCGGCCACTTGCGGCCACTCGAGTGGCTGCAAGTGGCTGCTTTTTTGAATTTCAAATACCGCTGGTTTTGCAACCTCAATGTCAATTTTTGGCGACCGAACCTCATTTCATGCGAAAGGGCGCGATTGGACAAGAGAAATTGAATTTCACCTCAGTTTTTGGCGATCGAACCTCGTTTCATGCGAAAGGGTTGCGATTGGACCCTTGAAATCGTAATTTTACCTCAATTTTTGGCGATCGAACCTCGTGCGAAAGGGTTGCGCGGGACGACTTGCAAGTCGCAATTTTACCGCAGTTTTTGGCGATCGAACCTTGTTTCGTGCGAAAGGGTTGCGCGGGACGACTTGGAAATCGCAATTTTACCTCCGTTTTTGGCGATCGAACCTCATTTCGTGCGAAAGGGTTGCGCGGGGCGTTTTGCAACTCGCAATTTTACCTCAGTTATTGGCAATCGAACCTCGTTTCGTGCGAAAGGGTTGCGCGGGACGACTTGCAAGTCGCAATTTTACCTCAGTTTTTGGCGATCGAACATCGTTTCGTGCGAAAGGGTTGCGCCGGACGACTTGCAAGTTGCAATTTTACCTCAGTTTTTGGCGATCGAACCTCATTTCGTGTGAAAGGGTTGCGCCAGACAAGTTGAAATCGCAATTTTACCGCAGTTTTTGGCAATCGAACCTCATTTCGTGTGAAAGGTTTGCGTTTCGTGCCGTCTCGTTGGCACTGCCCCTGCCCCCGCCTTCAAGAGAGAAATAGAAAAGAAGGAGAGGGCAAGAGGGCAAGAGGGTAAGAGGAGAAAATGTGAGGATGAGAAGGTGTGAAGATGAGAAGATGTGAAGATGAGAAGATGTGAAGATGAGAAGATGAGAAGATGAGAAGATGAGAAGATGTGAAGATGAGCAGATGAGAAGATCTGAGGATGAGAAGATATGAAGATGTGAAGATGAGAAGATACGAAGAGGAGAAGATGTGAGGATGAGAAGATGTGTGAGAGGATGTGAAGATGTGAAGATGAGCAGCTGTGAAGATGTGAGAATGTGAAGATGTGAGGATGTGAAGATGAGAGGATGTGAAGATGTGAAGATGAGAAGATGTGAAGATGTGAGGATGTGAAGATGGGAACATGTGAGGATGGGAAGATGTGAAGAGGAGAAGATGTTTACAGACCCCCACTATTGGAAGAACCCTGCGCTCAGACGCTCTCGGGAAAAAGGGGATTGGCAATGGGGATCAATTAGGTACACTCAACTGACCACTGGGGGCCCTGGGGGTCTCCGGAAATGGGCGGCTTGGATGGGCCCCAACTTTAAGTGGACATCTAAGTGGCAAGGGGAAACTGTGGCAGTGCGAATCGCACCTTAAAGGCTGTTCCAGAGTTCCAACCAATCGGAAGCCTTTGCCATTCTCATTGAGAACTTCTGTGCAAGAGCTAGCACCCAAATCATCTGCGATGTTATGACCTGAAGGGGTGGAGGTGACCGTATCCTTTCTGAATCTCTGTATCCTTCATGAGAAATAAGGTTTGGTACCTCGAGAAAGGTAGAAGCTCACAATGCCACAATGCTAGAATCTCAAGGACAATAAAATGCCTGATCTTGGGGTATTCTTCAGGCCGCAAAGCGCAAAATCCCACCAAGGGTCCACCGCTCGCACAACCAAGGTGCACATTTCTGCAACCGCTTCGGCTCTTGCTAGGGAGAAGAAGCAGAAGCTTGGCAGCGACCACAACAATGCGCGCTGCCTGACTCAACAAATATAGATTCAGATGTTGCTAGTGTTCAGGATATAGGACACGAAGGAAAAACATGTGCCATGGATCCAGTGACCAAACAGGCCTCGCAAACAACTCCCACATGAAACTGTGAGGATCGGGTCAGCCAAGATGCACTGGTGGTCTAATCAAGCTCAAGTGTCTGTTGCCACACCATCTTTTGACCTGATCCAAAAAGGGTTCCAAGTTGGCTAACAAAATCTTAGGTCTTAGGCTCTTGTGGGCATGCAATTCTCGGAAAGCCAACTATTTTCCTAGCTGCGGGTCTGAAGATAGTCAATACCAAGCGGCGTCCTTGCTGGCTGCCGTGGACATGAGTTATGCCGGCCCTCCCCTTTGTACTTTGGTACAAAGGTGGAAGGCCTTTTCTGTACGGTGTTGGCTCCCACTGATCAGAGTGTGTGGATAGATGTGCATATGTTTGCTCTGATCCAGAATTCACATGACAGAAAAACAACTTTGGCAGATTAGATATTGGTATACGTATACATTACATGTGCATATATGTAACTATATTATAATTGTATGTATATCATACGTATAGATTATACACACATATACACACATACATTTTACATGTATCTCTAGCACTTGTTCCTCTTATTCCTTTGATGTGCCAATATGGCAGAGATCAGTTTGAGCCAGCAGCTGAGGCACGGAGGTAGGGCCATGAAACCATGGGGAGTATGACGATTCCCCAGTTGTATACACGCGGTAGATTCCATCTTTTGACTAACCTAAATGCACATGGCGACATGGGGCAGGGACTTTCATCCGCAACGGCGGCTTTGTTCAACGCCGATGCCAGGAACCATATAGAATGGTTGGATGTCGGATAACTTTTGTAGGATTCAACAGTTGTACTGCTTACATGGAAATGTATTCATCTGAGTGGATCAGTGACAGGACAGGTACAGAAACACTAGCTGAAAGGCAGAAGCTGTTTACTTTCTTTTGTGAAACCTACATGGCGCCTTGTTCAAAAATAGCCACTCAAAAAAATCTCCAGGAACAAGTCAGAGCACACACCGGTGACTTAAGAAGAATGATTCTCAAAGCCATCCAGGTACATGTACATCATAAATTCATAAATCTTATACCATCCCGGGCCCAGTCGTCTCAGAACCAGGCTGGCTTGGCTGATCCTCGAAGCCCGCTCTGGAAATCAATCAAGTCTCAGTGGCTTTGTCTGAAAGAGTACCAATGGGTACCATATCCATTGATCAATCATCATTATCCCTATGTTAAACTATCCCTTTCATAAAAATCATAAAATGGCCATGAATGGGGGGTACAGGCATTGGCAATGGTATACTCACCGCTGCGGCCGCTTCCTCTACAACTCGTCGCTTGGTGCCACCATTGCTCGCCTGGTGAGAATTCCAGCGACGGAATGGACCCAAGATGAAGCAAACAGGAGTTCAACCAATCTTGTCTCTAAGAGGGTTCGACTTAGTACCATTTACAGCTTCCATTTCTTCGATTCTCTTGGCCTCAACCAATCTGTGGCGAACATTGGGGAACAGCACCTTTATGAGATAACCTCACCTAAAATCCTGGAAGTCGCAAAAGATTACCCAACAACCCAGTGGTGTCTCATCATGTTCCCCATTGAAATTGCCATAAATTGGTGCTAAAAGATCGTCAGAACACCAAGCCCTCGCCTGCGCTGGGGTTGCCTGGCATGGTAACGATATGACCCTCTGTGGTATCTGTGGTACCCTAAAATAGATCGATTTGATACGAAACCATTGACTTTTTGGTCCACGTATGATGATCAGTCCGGGTCATGGGATTATTCTGATATATTATGATTGTTTATATCAATGATCAAGCTGCATAATCCATCTTGAACTTTGGACTCACAAGCTTAGCCAGACCACTTGCAATAGCTGAAACAGGTGCTGCGAAGCCACATGAGATAAAGGAGATACTGTCAGCATTGTTACTCGAACTTCCCTTACATTCTCACCTACCCTGAATGGATTCTGTAGGCCGTTTGCTACATACTATTATTGGATAGAGCACGATAACTTGGATGAGAACTTGGGGTCCATGGTTCAACAACTCCCCCATGACTTGTTCAGCTTTGGAAGCTTTGCTGTTGCAGCTTTTTCTGCAGCCACCTGAAGCACAGACCCCTCGGTCCGCTGCTGTCGTCCCAGTCTGCACTTCGCGCAGAGCCGGGAATGATAATCCGACAACACAACAGGATGGCAAAAAAGTTCAGCTACAATCAGCTACAAGAGATTCTTCATCTTGAAACCTGAGTTTTTTAGAGCGCTGGTATCGCTGGTCAGGTTCTCAAGCAGACGGCAACTCTGCAGTAGTCTCAGCTGGTTCGGTCTTTGATTGTGCCGCTACCAAGCGGATGCATACCTCAGCCGGAGTTTCCATGAGTTTCCCATCCTCAAATGATTCTAATTTAAGCATTGCTTTATGGACAGATTGGACAGGTGTTTAGCAAATTTCCACAACATTCCTAACATTCCCTAATTTTCGTGATTTGTGGCGGAACTCATCGAATTTCTGAAAAATTTCTGGGGATCTCCATAAAGTTGATTGTGCCCAGGATCAACTGCGGTGATCATGTTGACATAGAAGGGGAGATATCGACCCAGCTGAAAGCTGCTGCTTTCCAGGTAGCATCCCAAGCGGAAGAGTCCTCCAGCCAGCGGCGGTCCCAAACCTCTGGACAACGAATTCAACGAGTTGCACCAGCCATTGACACTTCCACGATTTTCCACGGAGCATTCTCCTCAGCGAAAAGATCAACATGGAAAGAAATCGTTCAAAAATGAGTTCAGAAAGAGCTCAGACCACTCCTCCATATGAATCAATAAATGATAATAAATGCAGTCGGATGTCTGTTTACTAGCATCACAGCAACTGGAAAGCAGGTGGCAAGTCCGAATTGGCTGAGCATTTGCCACGCAGTGATCGGCACGTAGCGCCAAAAATGAAAGCGCGGGTCCGCCACCATGTAGTAAACCGGAATCGGTAGAGATATGGCAATTGTCCAGCTCAAACAGAGCGCAAAGCAGCGGTGCATCCCAAATCGGCGCATAAGGATGGGATAAAAAGTTGCCTGGGTGATTTCAACCCAACATATGAAGGTCATTGGGGTATCTCATCTCATTTTCAGGGATGGCAATAAATATCGAGAAAATATTTAAGATCACAACCCAGTCACCTGATTCAGAAAAATCATGGCAGCAGCACAGACCTGTATGTATCCGAATTGGTGAGGGGACAGAGCCATGCCACCCATGGTTTCTGGTAGCGAAGAGACCAGGACAAAGGCATTCAAGCGCGCAGCCACATATCCATTCAAGAGGCTGCTGGCAATCAAAATCTGTCGGAAATTCCTTCCTTTCGGAAAGCCTTGCCAAAACTTCACTGCTTGAAATTCCTCACTTTCAGCTCCACTCCTGGCCAAAAGGGCAGCTTGCTGCTGAACTCGTGCTCGACTCTCTGGTAGGGCGAAGAATCCTACGAGGAGAGCTGCAATAGCCAGACATGCATAAGAAAGGTTCGGCAGCAGGAAAGGATGAGTGTCAAAGATTGTTCCTTGGAAAGTCGCAGGATACCATCTTGCCGGGTATGCCAAGCTTCCCCCAAGCGTTGGGCCAATAATCAGACCCAAGGAAAAGGTGGCGGCCAATATACCGAAAGCTTTGGCCTCATTGGAGTTATCCACCAACTCGCCCAGGTAGGTCCTCACCACTCCAATGTTCCCACAGAAGAAGCCATCCATCAACCGAGCCTTGGATTTGCCCAAGGGATCCCAAAAACAATGTTGAACACATGTGTCCTTTTTGGGGGCCATTGGGATTCCCATAGATTCCCCAAATGGTGGCTTTCCCATGATCCAAAAGTGTTTTTTTCGCCACACATCCAGGGAGCTCCAAGGGCCACAGGCAAACTCCCAGCCATGCCAAAAATGATGGGCGCCACTGCTGATCCGGTTAGGCCAACCAGCAGCACCGGCCTGCGGCCAACCTTGTCTGCCAGCATGCCCCACATGGCCGAAAAGATCACCTGAGAAACGGAAAACCCTCTGGTTATGTCAAAATAGCTATTGAAAATGGCCCATAGAAATAGTTGATTTAGCATGATTTAGCTATAAAAGATGATGATTTTCCAGTTCGCAAACTGCAAAGTGTTAGTTTACCAGAGGGTGGACTATGGATTTTCCTATTGGATGGGCATTTTTTGTGACTTGCTCACCTCGCAGAGGGAGTAGGAGCCCACCAATACGGAGACCCACAGAGACACATCCGGACTCCCGCGCTCCGTCTTTAGCAACATGGAAACCATGTCATCCACGTAGGGATTCCTTGGATTTGTGCCATGAAAATCATAATAGTTCAAGTTTCAAGTAGATATCTCAACATTATGAATTGACCAATGGGACCCAATGGGATTCAATGGGATTCAATCGGAATAATCTTCAGCAAATCCAGGATTCAAAATGGTAGCATTGATACAATCAATCAAGGCAATGCAGCACAGAACCGCCAAGGTCTTGCAGGGCAGCGGAGTCGCCGGAGTCTGCCCTTCCTGCGTCATGGCCGCAGATAGCTGCGCAGCTGGCTAGCTGATTGTGGATGATGCCATACCGCCATACCGGCCATACCTGCAAAAAAGACACTGGAACTACTTGTTGCTGGTGTTCTAAGAATATCCTATCAGATATGTGTCAGTTTTGACAACAAGCTCGGAGCAAAAAGATTGGTTTGGCAGCGAGGTAGGAGGAATCAGAGGCACGCGAATCCAAATTCTCGGAAGAAAGCTAAAACCCAGGTCTTGTGACAAACGTGACATCTCAAGCTCGAGAGTTGCAAAAAAAAAATGACTACTGCTTCGAAATTTTCTCAAAGGTCGTGAATTCTGCTTTGAGCAGCTGGTACACACTCAAATGGATGTTAGTCACTTCATGTTGGCACACTGATCTTCACACCTAAATAGCTGTTGAAAAAAGCTTGACAACTTGAGGTTCAATCTCCCCAATGAATTGTAGTTACCAATGGTCCAGGTGGAATGACCCATCCTCAAGTGATTGGATGTGATTAGTTTCTTTGGGGTTTCTGGCCTCTAATGCAGCACCCAAGCGAGCGGTCGAGTTCTGACGGCTCAACAGCCTGCGGAGATTTGTGGCGTACCAACGCACCCACGAGAGGGGTGGTGTTTAATCTTTGTCTTTGACCATTTGCCGATTGGTTGATCTTTTCCAGTTTCGGGGGATTGATATGTTTCAGCACAGCCGCATGGTTTATCAAAGAATGGGGTATACCCCAAACTTATCCAAACTTGTCATTTGAATGCGAAAAAAGATGATGGTCCATTGGGATCTGGGGTACCCCATATGTGTTTCTGCTGGATCATCCACCTCTGCGAGACTCCAGTCGCCACCTTCTCCTGCCAGTCCTGGAAGCTTTTGTCCTATTTCCCAACTAAAAAGGACATTGAGGATTGTCCAAAAATGGATCTCCCAAAATTCAATGGTATGCTCATTTCCCCTATTGAAATTGCCACGAATTGGGGCGGGCCGGCTGACCATTATTGATTCATTGGGTGCCTAATCGTCATGTATTTGTCAAACACCTACAAAGTGGTGCCCCCTAGTTATAAGTTGGCTTATTCACCCATCTAAGTATACTTTTGCTATGGAGCAGGAAATAATGTGAATTTGGGATGCTTCCTATTACCAATCGTAAATCACTCAGATTCTTCACTCATTTGGCTTTGTCTGAAAAGTAGCTACTCCCAATTCCAACGGATTATCATCATATGTTCCCACCAAAATATCTGGCCACTTGAATCCATTCGATTCTGAAAAAAAGCAAATTCAATCTAATTCAATCTAATTCAATCTAATTCAATCTAATTCAATCTAATTCATCTAGTTCCCCAAAAATCCCATGGTTTATGGCCCTTCCTAATGGCCTTTCGGGTATCGCGATATCCCGAAAGGCCACAGCTCCTTAGCGCGAGCAGCCACAGCTGTGGGATCACCATCCAGGTTCTCCTGGGAGAAACCATTGGATTTCAATGGGACCCATTATGTCATTATGCCAAAATCATGTTTGAAAAAAATGTGTGAATATATATATATATATATATATTATATACACAGAAATCAGAAATCAATCAAAAGTGCAAGCTTAATGGGTAGAAATGTGTATAGATAACTGTCGGATTTTGGGGTACCCCATTTCTGCGCAAACCCGAATAAAGTTCTGGAAATAAAGAATCATCAGAATGGAGTGCTCAAATCCCTTGTTTCAGGGTCCATCAACTAGGCGTAGGTATCAACTTTGGAACGCTAATTAAGTGTCCCCAACACACCGCCGCTGATTGCCTGGTCCACTGTCAAGGTGATACTTAGCAAATCAGCACCTGGAGTAGAAGAGTCCGCATGGACCTTGGGAAGACAGGCTTCACTTTTCTTTTTGCGGAACGAAAATTGCGCCACCTGCAGGCCTGAACTTATTTGGCTGAGCAGGCGTGTTCCAAGAATTATCACCACCACCATCACCACCATCATCATCATCATCACCATTATCATCAGCATCACCATCGCCATCACCATCACCATCACCATCACCATCGTCGTCGTCGTCGTCGTCGTCATCCTCCTCGTCGTCGTCGTCGTCATCATCACCGTTTACCGTTCACTGTGCATCGTCTTTCACCGTCGTTCAACATAGTTCACCCTCGTTCGCCCTCGTTCACCCTCGTTCAACCTTGTTCACCCGCATTCACGGTCGTTCTTACAGACTTCATCGAGGGTAGAGTCTTTCGCAGGGGCCCTTCTTCTGCTTTCTGACCCTGGCAAATTGTAAGGGGAAATCATCCCAAAGTCACTTGGGAACACTCCAACTTCACATGACCGGAAGTAGAGGCTGCAGCAGCTAGGTTGTTGCCGATGACAAGCGCTTTTACCTCAGCATGGGTTGTGAGACCCCGTGGCGGAGAAGTCGGATGGTCTTCGGAGAGTGGGTTTCTTCTTCTCAGTGGATGTGGATAGTCTGTTTATATATCATATGTGTCAAAACCCTGGCACCCTGTAGTTCACTTCAAAATAGCTGGTATAGCTGGATGTTCATCCCTCTAAATATGGTGTGGTAGATTGGTTGTATACATGCTATATACGATCTATATATATATAACGGTGTATAGATATACAATCATGTATATATAATTATAATTAATTATATAGATCCACTCCATGATATCCTCATTCAATCCCATTAAACGCCTATTGTTGCTCTGTATATCTATTGTATGTATGATATATCCCATTGTTCTTTATAGTCATATCTCCTCGCAGCGTTTCGTGGCGTTTCTCACGGCTGCCCCACCGTAAAGGTCTCCTCCGATCCACGCAAAGGATGCATGTAGGAAAACCTAAGGTCTTGCGACGTGGTGGATGCGGCAATGCGGCAACAGAAAGATCCCAAATAATAGGGATATATTGCGGATATGAAGGGGGGCAATCATTGACGGGAACAATGGTGGACAACGCTTGAGGTCTTAGAGCAGTGTTCATACAAATTTCTTTGATATGGCAAGGAAATTGAATGGGCTTAGCCGATGAAAAAATCTCGCTCTGCCAACCTAAGCACAACTCGCTTCCTGCTGAAGCACAACTTGGATTCAACTTGAGTTCTGCCAAAAAAAAGGGATTACCACTTTTGCTAGCATGGAAACCATCTGTCCGACTGGATGCCTTTCTCATGCCCTGCTTCGCAGGGCAAGGTTGGCTCAAAATTAAGAGCAAAAGGTCGTTCTGCTGAAGAAAAGAAACTGTAGAGGGCCAGGGCCTTCAGAAATTTGTTGCATTTAAACCATTTCAGAGATAGAATTTTCTGTGACCTATCAGTTACATGGCTTCAAGCCTTGCAACCCCCCCCCCACAGCCTCTATTGTTTCGGCTTGACCGAAGCAACAGCAAAAAGGACCCTGTACTTCAACAAACTTGTGCTGTTGTTGACCCTGAACTGCCAAACTATCTTGTGACAGCGGCCCTTCAGGACTTTTGCATCCTTTTTTATCCTATCCTTTGTTTGATATCAGCCACTATCATTGCCTTTAATAAGTTGTTGAGCAATAGACATTATCGGGGGAAGCTCCACCACGTGCTCCTCTACATGCCAAATCTGCCAAGACATTGGGCGCCAATCGTTCTAGCACTCGCTGTGCAGCAGAGCGAACTCTCAGGCTGGGATCCAGCTTGCAACGCAACACCTGGCTGTGAGGTTGGTAACTAGCTAACAATGAATATAGATATAGCTAGATATATATATACTGGGAATATAATGGGAATATAATGGGTGTACAATGGGAATATAGAAATAACCAAGAATTTGATATCAACCCCAGTTGCTTAGCTCATCCCCGTGAACTTCTGAAAAGAACTCTTTCAAGCTATTGGATTGTGAAGCTCTGGGAGTGCCCAGTACCTGGAGAATTCTCAACAGAAAATCCAAGCGGGGAAAATCTGCAGTGGGGATTTGTCTGAAAACAGGATGTGCAAAATCTCATGGCTGATCTTTGTAACCATTAAAACTGTCATAAATTGGGTTATCACTGTTTTTGGACAAAACAATTTGCTGAGCCATTACTCAACACATCCCTCCGGGGTCTCAATGGAGTGCTCCCTGTGGCCATGTATGGTCTGGACTTGATGATGCTTTAACAGAAGTGTTCAAACAAATCAAACTCATTTTGAAGAAACTTGTAGCACAGCAACTAAGCGCATCTTTTCCTAGCGGAAACTTGGGAAAAATCGACCTATCTGGGTGGCGGCATGTGTGTTCTGTTGTGTCTTGAGTTTCAACCCTCCTCAGCCGTGACCCTCCAAACCACTGTAGTAGGGATACTAATGGTAAATAACCAAAAATCCTCAGTTCGATTTTGCATTTCTTGAATTCATCGATGTAAGATTCATTTTGGTCCCAAAGTGTGAGCCGCCCATTTCAAAGTGAAGCAATCAATGCGTTCTCCAAATGCAGCGTGAAGCACCTCGCGAGACAGGCGCTGCAGCTGTTCTGGGCGCAGCTTCCGTAGCGTCTGGAGCGCTGCCTCACGCACAGGCCAAAGCTCATCGCGCAATGCTGCCACAATGCGAGGAACCTCACAGGCCAAAAACGGAAACCAGCGTCAGTCATGCACTTTTGCCGTAGATTGTTGCGTATAATAGATTGTATATTTTTCCACCATACAACATCATACATACATATTTATACATATAATCGAAGGAAATTTAAACTAATGGACAGATGAAAAGCAGAGGTGGAGCAGCAGAATAGAGAAGAGAAGAGCAGAAGAGAG